GGCGGTGCTGGGAGCCGCCGTGCTCAGCGCCGCGTTGCTGCTCTTCCCCCGGGAGGATGGGCGCCCTGTCGCAGCCGCCGCCGACGAGGTGAGCACACTCTGCGGCCAGCCTGGCCGCAGGACGTGACCTCAGGGAAGGCTCCAACTGCTGCCACAGGCCCCTTGGATAGGCCTTTTCCACCAGAGATGGGCGCCAAGGGCTACCCTGAGGCACCGGGGATGTTGGGATGGGCCACACGGATGCCCCGAGGATGGGCCTTCACCTCAGGGATGGCCCACAATGGCTGCCTCAAGGGCCCAAAGATGGGCTTTCATTTCGAGGAAGAGTCCCAAAGGCCACCTCGAGGCCCTGGGGATGGGCCTTTGCCTCAGAGCAGGGCCCAGCTGCCACCCCGAGGTCCCAGGCATGGGCCATTACCTCAGGGCTGGTGCCAGCAGCTGCCTTGAAGCCTTGGGGATGGCCCTATGCTGCCTTTTTGATCTCTGCAGCTCCTGCTCATGCTTAGGCTTCTATGATTGCAGACATTGTTGCTCACGGAGTGAGGATCTATTTATTTCCTTAACAAAATCCCTGATTTACATGCTGTTACATATGACCGGTGGGATTTTAGCTCCCGTTCTTCCACTCCCAGGCCCAAGGGGCTTTGTGCAGGAATGACAAACGTACTTCTATCCCTCCCAGCCCTGAGCTTGAGCAGATTCTGCTCCCCCTCTGCCATCCTTTTTCAATGTTTGGTCCTAGCTGTCTGTGCCCGCACCTGCCTCCATCTTCCAGCACATCCCAGAGTGCTCCAATAGCCACATGACAGGTCATTTTGCTCATTTTGCCCCGCATTCCGCATCCTTTCACTTTCTCCCAGGTCTGTTTTCTATTTTAAAGCCCAGTACCTGCATGTTGGCTCTCTTGTAGGTTAATACTGCACTCAAGAATGGAGCCATCTGTGTTGTCAGACAGCCCCTTGTCTCTTGTCAGGTACAGGGATCTCACCTTCATTTCAGATCACATCAGGCTTCCTGAGCTGCCATCTTGAGTTGTCCCAGAGCTCTTTGAGCTTTGAATACACAAAGTTTTGTGGTGGTTGAGGTGCCATTTCCTTTGTTTTATTATTAATGCACATTAATTATTGCTCTTCTCAGTCTTTATCTCTCTAAATCCCTACTAAAGATCCTTGTAGTGTTTCTTGTCTCCACCTTGCTTGGGACTTGCTTGTGTGAAGGTTGGGAGTGAGATGAAGAGCAGCTGAGCACGTGTTTGTGCCTGGGAGGCCAATGGAATTGGAAAGCTTATTTTTTTCAATTGGACTGGACCTGCCCTGACTATCAATAATACATGACCTGGGCTTTCTGCACCAAAACTCTGCTAATTGGCTAATTAAAAAGTGAAACGTACAGAAGGAGCCAGCACATAATTCACAAGAGACTCTTTCTGCAGCAACACCAAGGCTGAGCCTGTGCTAATACAATTTATAAAACTGAGTCAGGGGTTAGCAAAGCTCCAGGGCAGTCTCAGGAGCAGTGGATGTTGGCTCCTCATTGTCTCTTGCCTTGCCACTGTATCTTTTTTTTTATAATCTCTTTTTCTCCCCCACCCCATTTCCTGCCTAAAAGGGAAGAATTGTGTGCCAGGTCCTTGCAGTGCTGGGGAGTTTGTGGCCAGGGAGAGCTGCTGCAGGTTTTGCATCCTGTTTCTTCCACGTGCTCAGTACCATGTTGCTCCTTTCCTCCACATTAGCTTTTCCCTGAGTGGCTTTTTTTAAGAGGAAAGGGATTCTCCTTCCAAGCATTTGTCACACACCCTGCTTCCTACAGAGAGCATCCTTGTCAGGAATGAAAAGTGGGGGGAGAAATCTAGGGGAAACCCAAAGGTTTTCCTCCTGGGATGATCTTCTTGGACGATCCTCTTTTCCAGGATGTTTCCTGCTCCCTCTAGGCTTCTGGAGCAGACCGTGGCTGTAATGTGTTTTTTTTTCATTCTCCACAGATTGTGGACACCTACTTCATCAGCCGCTTCATCCTCCTGGCCGTGATGTGCCTGATCTTCCTTGGGTGCCTTTTCTTGCTCCTGATTCACCACCTCATGGAGCCAGTGTATGCCAAACCGCTCCACAGCAGCTAGCAGCAGCCAGAGGCAGCAATCCCCACCAAGAGTAAATCCCAGTTTCATGGCTATAAACCAGGAAGGCAGATCAGGAGGTGAACACCTTAGTTTTTCCAAACTCAGAAAGAAGCAAGCAAAGTGTCTCTTGCCCCCAGCACTGCCTCTTGCATCTTTAAAAGCCAAGTTTGGACTGATCACAGCACCCTCCTTTCCAGGGACTTTGCATGCTGCAAAGGTGTTTTAACCTCTCTTCACTTTTTTCTTTTCCAGGAGAGTTGAAATCCATGCACTTTGTACTACACTCGTTCAATGAATTGAACTGAGCTGAGATGGTTTGTTATTCTTATCCACAAGAGATGGTTTGTTATAATTCCTTTTTCACCTTAGTTAAATAAAGCTCTCTGAGAATCCCCTCACTCCATCCTTATTTATTCCCCAGGAATGTCACCTTTTGCTGCCCTTCAATGAGGGTGTGTGAAAAAAACACCTTTTCTTGTGGCAGACATGGGGTTTTTTGGAAATTCAGTGTCTGGTAGTGGATCATTGGAGATTGTCCCTTTGACTGGAAACCTGAGCATTTAGAGCAGGGAGGGAACAACCCTGATTGGTTATCCTGGGCCAAGGAGCTGAAGGCACATAGTTTCTGCCACCCTAAATCAAAACCATCCCACACAGTGGTGCAGGTAGCTGGCTGAAGCCATAGTCAATGGCAATACCTCTACTTTTTTTGGGGAAACCCCACACTTTTACTGTTGTTCAGCAGCAGCAATGGGGTCAAATTTTTTTTTTTTCCCTCTATTTTTTCATGGAAACTGGGGGGAACAACCTCGCTGAAGTGGAGTGGGGTGACTGGCAGGGAGCTCTGCCTTCTGCCCAGGCTGCATACCATGCACATGACACCATGTGGGAAATGGTGGCTCACATGGGCCTGGGGTCTGTGCTTAATGAGCAATAATTGCTGCTTAGTGCCACCCTAGCAATCCCTCAGTAGTAGCGGTTTATTTTATTGCCTGAAATCTCACAAGGCTTTTAAACTACCTGCAGGAGAAAAGCATTTTTGTGACTCAGAGCTTCATCCAACTGTTTGGAAGCAGGGAAGGAGCCTTTACCCTCCATAGCAAGCCAGGGAGTGGATGCGGCGGGGGGGCTGCCCCAGCCGGGGGGGGGGGGGTACGGTTCCCTCTATTTTTTCATGGAAACTGGGGGGAACAACCTCGCTGAAGTGGAGTGGGGTGACTGGCAGGGAGCTCTGCCTTCTGCCCAGGCTGCATACCATGCACATGACACCATGTGGGAAATGGTGGCTCACATGGGCCTGGGGTCTGTGCTTAATGAGCAATAATTGCTGCTTAGTGCCACCCTAGCAATCCCTCAGTAGTAGCGGTTTATTTTATTGCCTGAAATCTCACAAGGCTTTTAAACTACCTGCAGGAGAAAAGCATTTTTGTGACTCAGAGCTTCATCCAACTGTTTGGAAGCGGGGAAGGAGCCTTTCCCCTCCATAGCAAGCCAGGGAGTGGATGCGGCGGGTGTCCTGCCATAGCTGGGTAGGGTGAGTTACGGTTTTCCATTCCTGGAGGGATGAAGCCACTCCGCCTTTCACGGATGAGCAGGCAGAGGGTATTGCTGTGAGACTGACACCGAGTGCAGGATGGTACCACAGCCTTGAGCTATTTTCAGGGGCAATAGAGCAAAAAAACCTCTGGGCAAGAAACTCGAGCTTTGCATATAGATTTTATTTTCTTCCCTTTTTTTAAATGTTGTGGTTTTTTCATTTTGAATTGAAGAAAATGAAGAGTAAATAGAAGAGCTGGCCAGCTTCTTCCAGCCCTGTCCTGCCGGCTGTCAGTCACAAAACATGGCTGTCAGGACATGAAAGATTACTAAGGCAGAGCTTGTGGGCATGGAGACAACCCTTCCCCTGCAGAAAATGCCCAAGTGCGCAGGAGCCCTGACTCAGTCAGCTAAAAAACCTGCCAGTACATTTCAGGAAAAGGCAGAGGAGAAGCAGCTCTGCTTTTCCATCCACAGAAATGCTCAGTCCCTTCCTCATCCTAAGCCTACGTCCAAGGGAATTGAACTATCATGTTAAAGAACACACCAAGCATTTATGCAACACAAGCGCGTCAGGTCTCTTGGTGGTTTTGAAGTTGTGCCTGAAATAAAATTAATATTTAATTCATCATTTTAATAACATTTATGAACACAGAGCTGGTCCTGCCACTCGCTCCATCTCTCTGCTTGCTGTGTCTTTATTCCCCATGAAACAGCAGCTGAGGCACTAAAAAATCCCCTAAAAGCATAAAAGTGAAGCTCCTTCCAGTTCTGCACCATAAATAAACCCAAGATACTTGCTTTTTTTTTGTCCCTTTAATCCATTTTTAACTAAAATCAATCAAAAGGACTATTGTGCAGGGTAGTTTTTGGAGCAGGAGGGACACAGTGGCTCTTGCACGAAGCCATTTCAGCACTTTCCCAAAAATCCCATTAACTGGGGAAAGAGCCCCATGTGCTCTCGCTCCCCCAAGACATACTGAGCTTCATCCTCGTCTTTTGCCCCTGGTGGCAGGGATCAACCAGCTGGATGAACTCAGCCCTGGCTTTCTCCATGTATTTATTTATTCTGGGCAATTCTGCTCCTCCCTGCGCAGGGGCTTTCCAGATGGTTCCTGTTTATTTTTGGGAAAGGAAAGACCATGTCAAGGAATTGGTATGAGCCAGAGCTGCTTTCCAACCTGCCCCAAATGGTATTGGGGTTTTTTTGCTGCCATCCCCCTCACCCAGCTCCTGGAGGACAAATTCTTGCTAGCACATTCACCTCCATCTAGCACCCTGATTAATTTTTTTTTGAACTTAAAATGAAGCAGGAGGAAGGTTTGGCTTAAATCCCAATCTCCCAGTCACTGGTGAAGGTGTAGCCAAGGAGCCCTGCTCAAGCCCAGATTTCTCCCTAAACTGCAAGCCAATAATCCCTGCTTTCCTTTTGCAGGGTGGGAGCACCACGTGCTCCATGTCCTGAGGAGCCTACTCTGTGCAGGCAAAAAAATCCTGCCAAATCCCAGCAGGAGAAACCTGCTGTGCCAAAAGGGACATTTGCACAAGATACCACACACCAGGTGAAGGGTGGCCAAGCTGCTTTCAGGTCAGGGGGGAACAACAGTCCTTTCCCCCTCTAAATTCCCTGACTGGCTTGTTAGAAACACAGGAATGCTCCCACTGTCACCGGGTCATGGGACCCTAGTGTGGCTGCTCCCTCCTGCCTGAGGCCAAGGGATGCCAGAGCAAGGATGGAGGGAGAGCAAGTGGCTGCAGGAGAAACTTCTTTCCTTGATTTAAGGTCCTTGAACAACAGCAATTCCTCACGCCCTGTGCTGCGCTCTGCCCATACTTAATTACCCTCCCTGGTAAAAGCTGGTGTCTTATTTCCACCTTGACTTTGCTGACTTCAGCTTCCTTGCTGGCTTTGCCTTTGGCTGCTAATTAAAAAGCCCTTCAGTGTTGGTCGGCTGCTCTGTGTGTAGGTAATTATGGACCATGCCCCAGCTACCTCTTCACCTCCCCAACAGCCCTACAGCATTCCTCCAAAATATGTGCAACCCCTTCCCAGGCCACCCCCTGGCAGAGCTCAGCCTAAGTGGTGTCACCTGTAGAAAAATACCTGGTGACATGTTTAGTGGGGACAGGGAATGCCAACGGGAGGGAGGGCTGAGCCCTGGCAGCAGGAACACAGATGCTCCCACATGTGCCACCCTCACCTCAACCGCATCACCTGCACAGAGTAGCCCTTTAGCTATAAAATCCGGGTTTTCCAGGATTTTGATGTGCTTGGAAAGCAGGCTCCATAATTACCAGCAGAGCTCCTAATGAGCTCTTTTCAGGAGAGATGTTTTTTTCGCACCATCAGGACAGTGGCAGACGCGTTTGTGCTTGCTGGGCTCCAGCACAGAGCCAAGGGGCTCATGGAGGGGGAAAGCAGCGGCCCCTTCTCCAGTGGAGCAGGAACGAGACAGGGTGAGTCTTGCAGACTTCTCCCACAGGAGATAGGCTTGATTTAAAGTCCTTTGGCTGGGGCAAACTCACAGGACCCCCCTCTGCCTTCCTGCCCACCCCTCGACCTCTACAATCTCAGCAAGATCTGGGGTTTTCTTTGGCATTTGGCTCTGTTGGTTTTTTTCAAGTTTAAAACTGCCATGGGCTGTCTGCCCTTTCTCCTTGCTCCCAGCAGTGCAGCAGCCAGAGCTGCTCAGACTTTCCAAACACAAACGGGACACGGCCCAGGCCTAAATTTGACCCAGAAAAGCTATGAGCAGCTGAAAGAACAGGCAGGAAGCAGAGGGAGAGAAAAAAGCAGAAAAAAGGGGCAGTGAGCCCCTGCGTGTGCGAAAATATATTTCAAGCCCCCCCCTCCACAAGGTGGATAATAATTAAGCAAAGGGAAAGCTTAGTCACACATGCACAGAAATAACCCTTCTCAGCCTGGTGTGTGGCATCTTTGCTGGCATCATTGACTCTTGTGCTGTCAGAGACCAGGAGCCAGGTGGCCTGGGTGTGCTGTAGTTCTGTGTGTTCTGTGTGCTGTCCTCTGCTGAGGACAGACCCTGCCGTGACATCTCTCCCTATGGCTCCATCAGGGTTTGCCTCAGGGTGGAGTTATATCCCTAGGGAAAAGGATATCTGCAGAGTTGGCTTTTCTCTATCTGCTCCATCGTTTCTCCTGCTTTCTCCCGTAGAGACCTGCAGGCAAGTAGTGAGTTTTCAAGCCCTGTCAAGAATCTCGTCAGTACAGAGGGGACCAAAGGCCACTGCCATCCAGCCACATCAGACACACAGCTGCTACTCTCCAAGCTACCTGTCCCCACCTTGTGCCTCTCTGCTGCCTTGCAGGGTTTCACAGGGATCTGATCTAACTGGCCAGCAGGTTTTCTAGTGTTGGGGTTTTTTTTCCCTTCACTGGTGAAATCAGCACTTAATAAAATCACATCAGGCCCAGATGTTTTCTCCTTTAGTTAAGATCCAAAGAGGTAAAGTCAGAGTTCAGATTTATACCAGGCCAAAACCCACCGACCCTGGGACCCAGTGCTGGGCAGAGCCAGAGTGAGCCTGGGCAGCATCCCTCTGTGGAGAGCAGAGTGAGAAATGCACCCTGGCTCACAAAAGCCCTGCACTGCAAAGTTTGGGCCCTCCCAGAGAACCTCTGCCCAGAGGAGCCCAAGGTAGCTGGCCAGTTTAACCCCACAGGGTATCCTGCGTGCCTGTTGTGTGACTCGTATTAATTAGGAGGCGTCTAAAAAAGAATATCAGCTGCCCATGCTCGACTGAGAATAGCCACTGTGTGCAAGTGGGTGTTTGTTGTGAGCTGATGCACTGGCCCTTCTTTTGGGGCTAAATGATACAAATTACAAATTGCAATTAAAGAAAATGCTGGTTTGTGTGAGGTTGTGGGGTTTTTTTTAAGTGGGCTGAGGAGCAAAACCAGCTTCATTGGGGCTCAGTGAAAAGCCTAGGGATGTTCTCTGCTAGAACAACCAGTGTTTTGTTGGCCAGGCAGTGCTGTAACTGATTTGGCACAGTCCTGCTCCGATATCCTGAAATACTGTGTGCTGGGATGGGGCAGGCTTGCAAATGAGAGGCTGCACGTGCAGAAAAGCAAGCAGGTTAGGATCACTGCCCCTGATCTCACGCAGGCCTGGCTGAGCCCAGCCAGGAAAGAAGCAAGACAGATTTTGCATATTTTTATTAAGAAAAGGGCCAACAGTGAAGAATTGGCCCAGAGAACCAGCCGACTGGCGCCCTCGGACTGCTCCTCACCACTGCCTCCCTTGGAAGGAAAGCCACAGTGGCTGTAGGAACTCACGGGGCCATGCCCAAGGCCGTGTCTTGGCTCTGCCAAGACAAAACACGCTCCTGGCGTGCCCTGGCCTCTTCTCCCTCCAAGGCCTCTCAGCTCAGGGCATCTTGTGGGGGGACATGTCAAAACTCCTTAAACCTGTTGGGAGAAAAGCAAGCAGCTGAGCGCAGCAGGTGCCATTCCACAGGTGTTGGGATCAATAGCAGGTGCTGCTGGAGAGATGGAAAATGACCCCAGCCCCATCTGCACCACAAGCCCGGAGGAGGAGGTGCAGAGAAGAGATCCAGCCACCATTTTGTCTCCAGCCAAAGCTGCAATGTCCCCCAGAAAACATCCCCAGTGTTTGCACCTCCTTTCCGCAAGCTGGTCCAGAGACAACATGCTCCCCACAGCCCTCAAAGGTGCTGCAGGATTTCCACAAACGGAACCAGTTGCTTCCCCCAGCATAAAACAGCCAGATTTTGGCACAAACTTGGATGGTGCCAACCTGGCCAGGACAATCCCAGCCCCAGCCAGCCCCAGCACAGGAGAGCAGAGCCTACAGCCCTCCACCAGTGGCCGGAGAAGGAGATCTGGGCTGCACTTACCGCAGCACCAGGCCCAGACTATTGGTCTTTCACCTGCAAACACAAGACATCATGGACCGAACATTCATGAGGATTTGGGGCTGGCACCCCCACCTCTGGGACTGGCTGTGGCCCCTTCCCCCTCAGTGCTTGCCATGGGGCTTTGGTGGCAATCAGAGACAGGCCAGTGCTGATTCAGAGATTATTTACACTCCTGCTGTAGTGATTCGTCCACAGATTTGATTAGCAAGCCCACACTCTGTGTAATCAAGCTCATTAGCATGGGTGGGCAAATCAGCCTATAAATTCAGCCATTTCTAGTGCATTAATCAATGTTTTGCTAATCGGGCATCTGGGCTAATGTGTCATAAATCAGCCACAGACAAGGATGTACTGCCCACCCACCTGTCCCCAGCCTGTCTGACCCGGCTGTCGTGATTTGATCTTTCAGTTCCCAAATCTTGACCTCAGCCTTTAAATTACCAGCAGTGTCTGATTCTAGGCTGAGCCTGCCAAGCAAAACTCAAAATCAGGGTTTAATCAGGCTTGCGTTTGCATTTAATCCTCAGTGCTCACACAGGGATACTCACACCGAGCTACTTCCCATCCAGCACTGACTCTGTTAGCTGCACACTAGAGCTATAAAGACACAAGGATGGCATGTTCAGCACCCAGAGGGTTTCAGGAGGCACTGATGGCTAAAATCCCCCAGGCACTGCCCTGGCTTGACGTGGCAATGTCGTTGGGCCCACAGGAGTGAGGCATATAGCAGATGACCTTGTGATGCCCACGCTGAGATTCAGCAATGACACCAGGGGATAACAAACATCTTTCTGGAGTGGCACCAATGCAGTGTTTTGGCATGGGAGGACTGGAGGCCACTCTGGGACAGTACGTACGTACCCTCTTTTCCTTGCCATGAAGCCACACCACCCACGGACCTCTTTGACCACCACGCGAGTGAGGAGCTGCAAGAGGAAAGGTGGAGGATCACTGCAGGACTGATGGCTCCACAGCCACCAGCATCAGCGTGAGCACTGCCAATGCTGAGAGATTAATTTTAAGGCTCTCCCTAGGGAAGACTGCATCAACTAAAACCATGCATGCAAGAGGTTTGTTGGGAAAAGCCATGTGGATGGAGGCAAGGGTTTGGAGTTGATACAGGGTTTTGCCATTCATCCTGTGCCCACTGTCTCCTCAGGACCATCGGTGCCCAGTTAAATGGAGCTGCTGAATATCCAGGGTAGTTAAACAAGTCCTGCTGGGGAGGGACCTACCAGGCAAGCCAAAACATCAGCTGCTATCAACATGTAGAAGACATTATTCCAGCCCGTAGGGGAGATGAGCCCTGCCAGCAGTGGCCCCAGTGCAGCACCTGCAAGGGCACACAAGGCACATTAGGTGATGCCCCATGCATGGGGGAAAGGGGCACTTGGCCTACCCTGGCTGTACAGACCTACAGATCCTGTGCCATCAATTATGGCTGTGACTGTAGAAAGGGCCTTGGCGTTGCCTTTGAGAGACTCATGAGTTCCCTGTAGGGATGGAGGAGCAAAACGTGAAGAAAAGTGACTTCAGGCAAAGTCCCGGCATGAGGCTGCTCCCGCCCTGGGCAGAAATTCCCATAGATTGGACCCAGCCATGACTGGAAAGACCAAACTCAGATGCTGCCTGCAACCAAGCCACAGCAAAAATGGGATCACCAGCAGTGGACAGTAATTCTAGGTGATTTTCCAGCAATTTTTTCCACTTTGATTGTGCGTAGAGGGAGATGCAGCAGGGCCGAAGCAGAGTCACACAGCCAGGGTGAAACAGCAACAAGAAAAAAAGCCATGTTTAAGAGAGGGTGTGGATGGCAGTGCAAGGCATAACAGCTCAGCCCTTTTCTACTGGGCTTCAGAGGCATGGGAGGACAAAGCTAAAATGCAATTCCCAGCAGATATCCCTCCGAGAAAGAGAGAGCAGCCTTTGGGTGTGCAGGGTGGCATGGCAGGGGCTCACGTGTGCCTCTTACCAAATCTGCTGAAACTGCCGTGGTGATCAGAGCGTAGGGCCCGTTAACCAGGGCACCACAGATGATCAGCATCACTATGAGAACAAGATGGTTGTGGAGGTACCCAAGAACAGATGGAATCTTTAAGTTCAGGGAGCAGTGGGGACATCAAGCCTATTGCTCCCTTGTGTGGACATCACTGTCCTGTGCATCCATCTTGTGCACATCCCCGTTTCCCCCTGGAGATCCCACCCAGCAGGCAGCAAATGCTCATCCAGAACCACCCTCCCCCAAATGCTGGATTGGGAGCCTGGACCGAGAGGGAAAATGAAGGCAGGTGAATTTGAAGGAGCTCTCATTGGTTCTCCAGTGAAACATGAAGGAGCTCCTTACCTACTGATGTGCCAATGCCATTCTGGCCAACGTGGTTATACAGGAACAGCTGGAAAAGAGACATCAGTTTTGAGCTATTCCAGCTGTATTCTAAAGTGTTTTCCTTGCAACAGCACCCCGGGGACAGGACAGAGAAGGTGTGGACCTAATTATTGCTGGCACTGAGCTTCACCACACCCCAGCTCCCTGGCAGGAGAGGAGACAAGCGCACCCTTGGCTCTGCATCCCGCTGTCTGCCTGCCACATGAAACACCTGGCAGGGGGCAGCCAGAGGTGCTGCTGAGATTTACAGCCCATCGAGGCTCCTGCCTCCCCACTGGCTGAAGCCAGACAGCAACTCGCCCTGCCAGCTGTTGGGGTATGCGGAGGTGACATGGCCTCTCCACTTTCCAAGCTTGCACCAGCTCCTTTGGAGGGTAGAGAGGCTCAGCTCTGGCGCCAGCCAGGCTTGGGTTGCAGCTAATTAGCCAGGGGTTTTTGTGTACAAGCCTTGTGTAGGTGCTCAGGAAGGACATCCCAGCCAAGCGCCAGCAGAGCACAAGGCCATCGGACCAGGGGCTCTTGGGATGCAAAGCAAAGAGAAGAAAGCTTGGAGCAGCTCAGTGCAGTTTTGAGCTATTCCAGCTGTATTCTAAAGTGTTTTCCTTGCAACAGCACCCCGGGGACAGGACAGAGAAGGTGTGGACCTAATTATTGCTGGCACTGAGCTTCACCACACCCCAGCTCCCTGGCAGGAGAGGAGACAAGCGCACCCTTGGCTCTGCATCCCGCTGTCTGCCTGCCACATGAAACACCTGGCAGGGGGCAGCCAGAGGTGCTGCTGAGATTTACAGCCCATCGAGGCTCCTGCCTCCCCACTGGCTGAAGCCAGACAGCAACTCGCCCTGCCAGCTGTTGGGGTATGCGGAGGTGACATGGCCTCTCCACTTTCCAAGCTTGCACCAGCTCCTTTGGAGGGTAGAGAGGCTCAGCTCTGGCGCCAGCCAGGCTTGGGTTGCAGCTAATTAGCCAAGGGTTTTTGTGTACAAGCCTTGTGTAGGTGCTCAGGAAGGACATCCCAGCCAAGCGCCAGCAGAGCACAAGGCCATCGGACCAGGGGCTCTTGGGATGCAAAGCAAAGAGAAGAAAGCTTGGAGCAGCTCAGTGGGACCTACAAGGCTTAAAGATAGAGTGGGCTTATGGCAGTAGGGAGGAATAAAACACCCCAAAAGGGATTTTTTAGTTGTCAAGGACTATACAATCTCCTCCCAGCCCCCAAATCTGGATATCCACCGTGGGAACATCTGGATATGTGGCTCAATCTCTGCTCTCATCTCAGTTGAGCATGTGACCAACTCCTCCTGGGAGCTTGGGAACAGGAAGGCAGCCGTGACTCAAACGAGCCAGAGCAGAGGAAACCCTTGTGACCAGGTTTTCTTCCCCGCGTGACAACACACCATGGGAGCAGCAACAACCAGCATCATGCAGCATGTGGTGGCCCTGCCGCCCGTGTAGTCAGAGATCAGGCCGGCGAAGATCCCCCCTGTAAGGAGGAGTTGGGGGTATCAGTCACACCACCCCAGTAACAAAGCTTCACCCAAGCTTAGCCCAAAATCCAACAGGACACTGTGACATGATGCTCTTTCATCCCCCAACTCTGGAGCAAGATGCTCCCAATGTTAAATATATATATCCACACAACTTTCGCCCTGCAGATGGTTTCCTACATCTGCATGCAGCCATGGTCCCCTCTACACTTGCAAAATGTATTATTTTTCTAAGAAAAAGAAGAGTCTGAGCAAGCAAGACCAAGGGAAAGGTGTTGTGGTGGTCACCTGGAAGGCAAAATAAAAGCAAGAGGTGTTTGCCACCCTCTGACTGCAACGGATGCCGAACAAATCTCGTTACAGTGCTTCAGGGAAAGAAATGGGGTTACTGCCAAGTACTCCCATGGAGAGGAGACTTTGTATCAAGGCCAGGATTGTCCCCAGATCACCCTCAATCTACCCTCTCTGCCCAAGTATGTCACAAACCTAAAATGCCCCCAACATCAAAGAGAGTTGAGAGGTCCCCGGCTTCCTTGGCACTGAAATGAGCTGCAAGAGAGAGATGAGGGGTGAGGAGATGCTACCCTTGCTGAGCTTGTTCCTGCCTCACCATCCCCAAAAACTCACCAACATTCACAATGTAGAGGGGCAGCCAGTAGAGGAAGGTGTAGCTCACCAGCTTAGCAAAGAGCAGGCAGAGGGAGAACTCCACCACGCCCTGCGAGGAGAGAAGACATCAGAGGAGACTCCTTCTCCCAAACCTCCTCCAGGTGGTGGCTTTTCTGCAGCTTTCTGCCCTATGGGGCAGAAAATCACAGTTGACAGGGGGAGCTTTGTTCTTTACTCCATTCCTGCAAGGGGCATCCTGTGACTCACGGGGATCCGGAGGGCCCCAAGGAAGCTGATGGCTTCCGGCTCCTCGCCTGGCTGCTTGGGGCTGTTGGTGTGATCTGCGCTTGTCTGGCCTGTGATGCTCAGTGGCCCCTCATTGGAGGTGACTGCTTCAGGATCCTTCTCATTGGAGGTCACCCCTCTAGCATCCTCCTCATCAGAGGCCATCTAAAAACAAGCCAAAAATGAGAGATGTGACTCTTATTGCTGGAAGGGGCTGAAACATTTGCTGACCTGAAGTGTCCTCACACCATGACAGCAACAAGCATCTTCCGTGATAACGTTGCTCTACTTTATAATGTTATGAACTGACACCCCAGCTGTTTCACTGCAAACTGAGCAACTACCCAGCCCAGGACGAGCCAGTTGGGAATGGATTCAACTCACATGGTGCAGAGGCGGGCTGCAGCCAACGTCCTCAGGATCTGCAAGGAGAAAGATCCCATGAGAGCCTGGACCAGCCCCTCTCTGCCTGCCCTCCTTCCAGCATCTTGTGCCACAAATGACAAACGTGCAGCTGGGTACTCCCCAGGACTGGGCTGCATGTCTGGATACCTGCTTTCGCTAGTAAAATCCCAAAGGGCTTCCCAAATGTTTCCTAGGGAAGACAAGCCGAGAGGAACGAGCACATAGGGGCTGAGCCTGCCTGGATGACCCCAAAGGATGCTGAGTAACCCCGTAGTGGCCAGGCCCACATCCCTGCTTGCCTTAAGCTGGAAATAAGTATTTGGGGTTGCCACAAACACTTGGAGATGAGTAAGGGAAAAAAAGTGGCAGATCTTGGCATTATGCCAAGCCTCTGCTGTGCCCCAGATTGCAGCACTCACACTCTATAAGAAAGAAGAAGCAGATGATGCCCATGACAGCGATGATGATGCCGGGCACAATGAAGGACAAGCCCCAGGTGGAGGAAACCCACGCCCCAGCGATGAGCGACCCCAAGATGTTGCCAACGGAGGTGTGCGAGTTCCAGATGCCCATGATCAAACCTCTCCTGGTGGTGACAGAGTGGGGTCAGCATCACCAGGGCCGACAGAGACTAGGACCGGGGTGGGATGTACTGGAGAAACACTCACTTTCCCTTCCCGAACCAGTTCCCAACGCACGCCACAACGGAGGGCCAGCCGGTCGTCTGAACCAGCCCGTTGCAGACCTGGCAAGACAAAGGCAGCACCGTGCCCAGTGAGCACTGACTTCATCTGCAGTGCAGCGCCCCCATGCCGATTTGGGCAGCCAGGCTCAAAAACAGCCATCCCTGTCCCACAGCTGTCGAGAAAACTCTTTGCTTGGGCTTTTTTATTTCCCAGTGGGGCAATCCTGGTGCCGTTTGCTTCGCTCCTGCAGCTAAACTGGGAGCGGGCGGTGTTGTCAAACCGGCTGCCCACCCTGCTCAGCAAGTCGGGTGTGACCGGTGGTTTCAGCATCCATGCCACGTGTGCATGGGTCTGGCATGGAGAGGAAATGCCCAGTGTTCTCCCGTTGAGAAACCGGGCCACCCCCGTCTCTGAAGCCACCAAAAAACTGGGATGCAGCTGCGCCAGTAAAATCTGGAGCCTGGGCATCCTCCCACACTGCCATACCTGGACAATGATGAAGTACCAGAGGACATGGATGTCCCAGAAGTAGCCAAGGCCGAAGAGTGCAGTGAAGAGCCCACTCAGCACCATCCCCCCTGACAGGTAGTAGCGCAGGGGTAAGCGCTCCCCAAAAATCCCGCTGCGAAGAGACAGAAGAGCGCAGAGAGGAGCTGGCACAGGTGATGCCACCAGTGGGGGTTATAACACCACACCACCCCAGCAGATCCCAGCTCCTGCTTTTCCTGTGCTATCCCAATGGAAACCAGTTTCCTGGTGGAGCGATGCAAACTAGTGTGCAGGGGAGAAGGTACCTGATGAACATCCCAATGGCATAGGCCACCAGGAAGGCATTATCCAGGGCCCCAAAAAGTTCCTTGTAGTTGTCCCCATCTGGAAAAGAAATATTATGGCCACGTCAGCCCGGCCACCACCATGTTTTCCCTCCCAGCGGCCTGCCCTCATCTCTTGTCACCAAACCCCTCCTCCCCAGTGGGGGTTCTTGGAGTGTGGCCGGGTGCCGTTGGTGTTGGGACCTGATTTCACCACCCACCACTGCCCTTTGGCCCACTGCTTAATTACCTCCGGGTGCCTAATGAGCCAAAACCAGGCATGACCTGGCTTAGGGCACAGGGGGGGCCCATTCTGGCTGCCATGAGGGTGGATTTTGGGGCGACAAAGGGGGGGCTCAGCCTTACCGAAGGGTGCCCAGCTGCACCACGCACTGTTGTTGGAGTCATTGCGGGGGTTGGGGCCCAAGGCCGAGCAGTTGGGGTGCAGCTGGCTCTGCAGGGAGAGAGAAGAGGGGAATCAGGACCCCCATGTCCCCCCAGCCCCATGGTCCTGTGGCTGGGTGAGGCCAGACCTAACCTTGACAATGCTGATGGGTTTTCGTGAGAGGTGGTAGCTGGTGTAGCAGAAGAAGGTCAGCACCAGTGTCAGCCCCCGATACCTGAGGGAGGAAGTGAGCAGAGGAGTCAGGGGCAGGGACAGGGATGCATGGCCTGTCACCACCCCAGCTGGAAAGCCCCACCCTGGTCGGAATGTCTCGGATGCCTCCAGCCTTGGTGTTAGCCCTGCTCTTCCTCCCCTCTCCCTAAAATTCATGCTTCTTGGAGAAAAGTATCAGGTAAGGGAGATGACAGCCACAACCATTGAATCTGCATGGGATGTGGATGTGTATTTAGGGAGCACAGACACAGCTCTGCTGTTATTTAACCTTAGAAATGCTGCAAAAGGGGAAAACTGGGGTAATTTCTGCTAATTTCCCTGGCAAAACACCCTCTGGATGTGGAACAAGCAGAATTCTGTAAAATCAGTGAACCCGCTTAGGAGAGGTGGTAGGGGAGTGACCAACCCCCAAAATAGCCAAGGAGGCGGCTGGAAAAGGTCAGCTGAGGTTATCTGGAAGGCTCCCCCCTCCTCCAGCCGCCATCCAGACAAACCACAGAGTGAGCAAATGCCTTCCTGGGCATCACGGGTGGAAACCAGGCACGAGGCAGCGGCTGATTCACTATTGCTCCCCATGTTAATTAAAGACAAGCTGGAAAAAAAAAAGGGGGG